TTAACAGTAAAAGAGCCACATGTGGCTCTTGAGCCACAGTTTGGCCACCCTAGCATAGAGCATCTTGACTAGATACACTACAGCAGCGCAGCTACACTGATGCTACTGATGTAGCACTTACAGTATAGGTACCCCCTGAGCGATGCAAGTTTCAGTGCTGTAACATGGCTGTATAGACAGTGCTGGGAGCCCTTCCCCTCACAGAGGTGGCTTTATTACAGCGCTGGCAGAGCTCTCCCCCAGTAGTGGAGCCAAGACTACACAGCCATGTTAAAGCGCTGCCCCAGCAGAACTTACACAGCCATGTTAAGGCATACCCTAGAGCTGGGAAACTTAATCGAAATAAGCTATTACCAGCAGGACAGTGGGGTGGGAGGAGGTATTGTTTCATATTCTCTGTGTGTATATAAAGTCTGCTGCAGTTTCCACGGTAAACATCTGATGAAGTGAGCTGTAGCTCACGAAAGCTCATGCTCAAATAAATTGGTTAGTCTCTAAGGTGCCACAAGTACTCCTTTTCTTTTTGCGAATACAGACTAACACGGCTGTTCCTCTGAAACCAGCTAAATATAAGGTGGAACAGATTGTTTAGCATAAGTATTTAACACATTTCAAGGGACCATTCAAGGTGGAATGACCTGTTAACATGCTTCCAGTGGGGGGGGGGGGGGGTTTGTAGACTATTGAACCTTAAATCCAGCCTTGACAACTCACCCATGGCTAGAAAGGGTTAAACATCCAGTAAAATGAATAACCCAGAGAAGACATGTGGGGAGATAATGTTTGCGTATTTACCTATATATGAGTAGGGTGGACCATGTAATCAACAGTCTTTGCTACTACAAAGCTCACCATCTCTGCTGTGAATCTGAAACTCAATGAATTGAACTCCTGTCTGTGTATGTATAGTGATCTTTTAACCACATTCTTTTTTGTTTAATTTTTAGTTTAAATAAGAATTGGTTGTCATGTATATTTGGGTAAGCTCTGAAACCTTCATTAACTTGGGAGGTAAACTGTCCAATCCTTCGGGACCGATAGAACCTGTTCTTTTACATGATGAAATATTTGACATGCATACCTGGATGGGGGCCTGATGCTGGATCACTTTAAGGTTACTCTTTAGACTTGAGTAACCAGTAAGGTAATAAATAAGCTGTGCTGGATTGGTGAATTTAAGTATTGGAATATCCACCAGCTTTTTGGGGATTGTCTGCCCCATTCTTTGCAGTTCACCCTAATTGAGTGACCACAGCTGGCTCCCCCACTAGGACACCAGGAACAACTGACCAGGTCATTGTACAAGATTCACTTACATTAACTACAGACATTACAGCAGCACAGCTGTACCACTGTAAGGTCTCCTGTGTAGCTGCTCTTTGCCAGAAGAGGAGCCTCTCCTGCTGACATAACATTGCCCACACCAGCACTTTTGCCAGCAAAAATTATCTCTGAGAGGTGGTTTTTCATACCCATGACTGACACAAGTTTTACCAACAAAAGTGGTAGTGCAGACAAAGTCTCTATATTCAGTTACCCAATCCAATGGCTAAACATTAACAAATTTTGTTTACTGTTTAAGCAACTACTTATGCTAAATGAAATGGAGGCTGAGAGTCTGTCTTGAATGGACATATTAAGAATGTATACAAGGGCAGCCAAGCGATTTACTAACAGTTGTGCGACAATTAGCAACTATGGTAATCTTTTAAAACGAGTGTTCACTAAGCTAGGTAAGTTAATACCTAAATATTTGTAACTAGTGTGTGAACAAGTGACTAGATGTTCTAAATGGTACCATGTAAGGAAATGTGTAACGCAGCAGCAGCTCCTTGCCTTTGCGGAAGATGGTGCAGTAGGACTGAGCCATCCATCTCCTGGGTGCTCCTGGCAGACCTTGGTGGGGTCGATCAGGGTGCCTGGACAGACATGGCTATCCTCCTCTTAGAGCACTGAATGGGAGCCAGACACTCCAGGTCATTCTCCAAGTTTTGTCTCATGGAGATTCAGTCCTGCCTGGAATATAATGCGAGTTGGAGGCTCTCCCAGCTGGCAGCACTGTGCAGTCAAGCCTACCCCTTGCTCCCGTGGCTCATGAAGCCTGGACAGTAGTAAGGAGCAGTTCAACTATAGGCTGAGCAAGTGCAGAATGTGCCTTTAGATGTTTAAAAGCTCACTGATGCTGTTTGCTGACTAGGTCAGACCTCAGCACAACCAACATTCCCATTGTTGCTGTTTGCTCTATAATATCTGAGTAAGGGGGAAGACATTTTATGGCAGGGTGAGAGGTTGAGGCCAATTGCCTGGTGTCCGATTTTGAGCAACCAGACACCAGGGCATTTAGAAGAGCACAGCAAGGCACGCTGCGCATCAGAGAGGCTTTGAAAACCAGTTTCATGACTGGCCAGGCTTCAGTGTGACAGTTGTGTTTCTCCTTGATGCAAACCTGCCCTTTGTTTTTAATACACTGTAAGCCAACCACCCTCCCCCCTTTGAAATAAAGTAACTATTGTTTTGAAACCATTCTTTCCTTATTAAGCAAAACAAAAAAAACCTGACAGGGTAGCCTGAGTGGGGTAGGGGAGGAGGGAAGGACAAGGCCACATTGCTTATTGTAGGAACACTCAAAATCAAACTGTTTGAATGACAGCCTTCTGTTGCTTGGGTCATCCTCTCCAGTGGAATGACTGGGTGCCCGGAGTCTTCTCCTTCCCCCCCCACTCCCCCCACATTCTTGGGTGTCTGGGTGAGGCAGCATGGAACATGAGGAGGAGGGTAGGCGGTTATACAGTGGATGCAGCAGGGGTCTGTGCTCTTGTTGGCTTTCCTATTAGCTGAGCATCATGTCCTGCCTCCGCTCTTCACACTCACTGAATTCTTTCTGGCCTCTGCCACTGAATATCTCAGGGCACAGCTTAATGCATGATCAGTGCGGGGGGACTGCATAAGCTCGGAAAACATGTCATGAGTGCTCCCCCCACCCCCGCCTTCCCACCTGCGATCTCCTCAGGGATGGAGATGATAGGGGGAGCCTAGAAACAGTCTACACTCTACAATTCTGGGGGGACTGCATGGTCACCTGTACTGCTGAGTTTGCCATGCTGACCAAACAGGAAATGAAATTCAAAAGTTCCTAGGACTCTTCCTGTGTACCTGGCTAGTGCATCAGAGTTCAAAGTGCTGTCCCAAGCAGTCACAATGGAGCACTCTGGGGTAGCTCCTGGAGGCCAAAACCATCGATTTGCATCTGTACTATCCCAAATTTGACCCAGCAAGGTCAATTTTTAGCACTACTCCCTTCATCAGGGAGGAGTACAGAAGTTTAAGAGCCCTTTAGGCTGACGGAACAGGCTTGGCTGTGTGGACGCAGTCCTTTTAAATTGGACCTAACATGGCAGTGTAGACCAGGCCTTAGTCTTGCTGGATGTTCTGATTTGATTTGGGGTCAGTTTGAGCCAGTCTTTAATGACTTAGCTCTTCCACTCAGACCACTAGGTGACACTCCTACTTCATGCTTCCTGCACTGTCTTAGCAGGAGACTTAACTTTTTTACAATGCAAAGTGCAGAGGGGAAACAGAGGCACAAAGGCTTCATAATAAATATTTCAGAGAATTCCCATATTGTCTCCCCTTATCTCCTACACTGGTGGCTTGACTGCCCTCCTATCACTGAACATCTGTAAGAATTTCCTACTGGGATAAGAGTCTAGCATACTATAGATTGGCCATGGTGAAGCAGCCACGCAATATATTTTGAAGAGTTGTTCTGATGCAGCAAAATGATTCAGAGCTGCTATTACTCTCTTCTCTCACCCCACAGTTCAGCAGACTCTCTGCTTCATGACTAGCTAGAGGAAAGCAACCAGCCCTTAACCTAAACCCATTTATTGGATTTTTAGGTTATAGTGCCTTTTATTGACCACTTTAAAGTTATTGCAATGTCTGTCCTGTTAAAAGAAATAAAAAATAGTATGGTGAACTATGCCTCTTAAAGGAGTTAACAAGAATGTGTTTTCCTCCCTGTTTATAGGGTGATTCTCTTCCGGGAAAATAAAGCCCAGCCCAACCCAACTATCCTGAGTTTGAGGACTATATACTGACATTTCTTCTAGCATTAGGTTAATTTTAGATGAACAAACTCAACCTTTAAGACACAATAGTGATACATTCACTTAATGCTGACTATGAAACCCACTCAGGAAGAAGGCAGCTACTGAACTGTCATTCATATAAAAATGAACTGTGCCTACTTTGTGTTCAAATATAATAGATACTTGACTGTCTGTAGCATAGTAACCCTGTTCCTGTGACCACATCACAGTTGTTGTGGACATGTTCCAGGCAGGAAAAAGGAAACTATCCAGCATCCTCTAAGAAAGTAATTGCATGTGCTGGTGTTGCAGGGGAAGGAGGAACAAACACATGATCAGTCTTTCTATATAAGGAGAAAAGTGGGGTGATGGGCTACTTCCAATTGCAATGCAGAGAACACATGACCTAAGATGTTACAGCTCTTCCTGGTAGGTGCTAGTTTTAAAAAAAAAAGGATGTTACACATCTGTGCTCATGCTGATAGACTGCAGAGGAAGAGGATTGAACAAAGGCACAGAAAATGCACTGAGATTCTAAACCATAATTCTGTGGTGGTGGTTGGGTTTTTGGGGGTTAAGATCTAAATTCATTATTTCTGGCTAAATAGCATAGGATATAAATGAGAACCTTTTTATGAGATGTTCAAAATTGTAAGCAGGTCAACTATAGACCATACTTTTAAAAATGAATTGGGAAAATCTGACTAACAAATCTCATTATATATATTCTATATCTAGCACCATCCTAGTACTGGACCAGATAAAGAATCTTATTTTATTCTTTGCAAATACAAATATTGCTGCTTTCAGTGACAGTTGTTTGAATGGGCTTGTTCAGATAACAATGTTGATAAGTGGTTTCCTTAAAGCAGTTTTAAACTATCACTTTGTCATTTTAAACTTTTGCAGGGACAATGCTGTCTGAATCAGAAATGGATACTGTATTGGCAGATTCAGCCCCTAACTCAGAAGTTCCAGTACCATGTGGGGTGTCTCTTAGTGATGTCTTGGTGAACTCTCCATCCAGGTTTGTCCAGTTTCTTTAAGAATTTAGATTAATTTCCATTTGATTAACTAGAATAGTTTCTATGATCTACATTCACATGGGCTTGTACTATTAAAATCTAATGCTGTGAGGAAGGAAAAGAGCAGAATAGAACTCGCTTTTAGTGCGGTGACTAGCTTCTGAAATACACTGCGTTTAGCTTGTATTCAAAAAGCATTCTGTACAGGCAGACTGAACTTCTTATAAAAGTATGCATTTAATGTTAACTCTGGCAGAATTTAAACTTGTCCGTAGAAAGGCATGGGCCGATATTTAGCACTTCTATATTATGGAATGTTGCTATACTGCAAACAGAATATTGGGTGTCTGCAGGGAAATCTCCAAATGTAGGAAAGTACATCTTGTTTGTGCCACATATGAGGGAAGTAAGGGGGATTTTGGTCAAAGTAGACCATGTAGAGCTATGTATCTCTTACAGCCCATGGGGAAAACTAAAAGATTGGCTGCCCAGAGATGGGAGATCACTGTGCAGCTCCCCCCGCCCCCTCCCCCGAGAAAACACACTCAGTGGTGTGGCTGCACCCAACCCTGACACTGCACAAGGACCAGGCCTGCCCCAGAAACACCCCAGGGACCTTCCCCTCCATGCCAGGTGTGGGCAGGCAGGCTCAGCAAGGCAGGATCCAAGAGTGGAGGGACTTAGTGTAGGGGGGAATCCAGGTGTGGGTTGAGAGGGTTGTGTGGGGCAAAATGAGGAATCTGGGTGCATGGGCTTGTTGGGGTGGGGGTCTGGGTGCAATGGTGATGGAGCCCCTGCAGGAAGTCCCAAGTGAAGATGGTTGGGGCTCAGTAGGGTGGGGGTGCAGGTAGCTCAACAGGGTGGTCCAGATGCAGGGGGAATGGGGCTTACTAGAGGGCTCTATGGGGGGAGGGGGTGTGAGATTCAGCAGGAGGTTCTAGTTATGAGACTGTCTGGATGCATGGGGGTTGGGCAGATGGTGGAGCATTTCCCTGTACAGGGATCCCTCCCCTTGCAGCTGAGGAATGATGGGTGTAGGAAGCAGGGGAAGTTTGCAGAGCTTCCTGCAGCTGGATGAGAAATCTTTGGGTAGGTCTGACCCAGCTGCCATGTGGGGGAAGAGGAAGTCCTGTCCTCCCCAGCCCAGCCAGGATTAGCAGCTGAGCCAGATGCAAGGTAGAAACCATTAGCCAGGTCTTCCCCTGCCCCACAGTGATTTACATCTCTGCTGGCTGCCCTGGGTACCCAAACCATACTGCTGGGGAAGGTCATGTGATCACTCTTGTGGCTTTCCTTTGCTTCCCTGTCAGTCATTTTTCTGCAGTGTTTGGGGAGGAGAGAACTCCATAGGTTCACCTGACCAGCTATAGTCTATTGCTCCATGGCCCATAAAACCCTCCCTAATTTAGATGGCCTGGAACAAAGATTTGTGTATAGCCTTGAACCCTAGCCAATAGGGAATGTCTTGCAAAAAGATATCTTCAGTTAAGGCTTAAGGTGATTTAAGCAATAATATTTCATTCACACTTGCTCCTGCATAACTATAGCATAAGAGCCTTGTCAAACCAACTGCTGCTGGAGAAATTGGGATCCTCTTTTTTTTAAAAAGGAGCCTAAGAATTAGGCTCCCCAGTCCAATGAAATTAGTGGGATTTAGGTGCCAAACTCTCCAGAGGCGCTCGGCCTAAGATCTTGTCTCTTTATTTGAAACACATGAAGAAAACAACTTTTGACCTGGTGTGGGAAAATAGCCTGAATCTCCAGGTAAATCAAAAGGAAAGCTTGTGTTGTGGTGGTAGCATTGTTTGTGGAAGTGTTTGTACTCCAGTGCCACAACCTGCTAGAAAAACCACCCACATCTTGCTAGTGAATACCAAACCATGTTAAAAAGCTGGTACCTCTTAGCCCTGCGATAGTTTCCCAAACTTCCTTCCAATAATAAGCAACCTCATTGTACTGCTAATAGAGTAAATTTTACCATTTGCAAATACTGCAACACTGCTCCTCTATTTTCTTAATGATGTGGCTTTACTCTTTGATCCATAAGATTCAGTAAGAATGACCAGTCTGACTTTTCAGTGGTTCTGCATCCATTTCAGTATTTATCCTCTGCTAGCTTACAGCTACCAAATGCCCTAGTGAATAGTGAAGTTTCTGCAACCTCTCATTGGTCTTCAGTTTTATGTACTGATCTGCCTGATTAAAGCAGTCCTTAGTCTATCTCCCCCCTCCCCTTGCTTTTACCTCCTAAACTACTCTCACAAATGCACAAACACTTCAGCAAAATGAACACTTAATAGTGACAGTTATTCATGCCAATCTGTCAACAGAAGTGCAAATTGATAAGCATACTTTATGCTGGCCCCGCAGTTAAGACTCCATAGCTTGCTGAGCAAGGTTAAGAGACAGACTTGATTACTTTCTCCTGTTCTGGTTCTGGATTGCAGACCTAGTGGGAGAAGCAAGCTTTGTTTTATTGTGCAGTGTCAAAATAGCTACCTCAGACTTAATTGCAGTGGTTTGAGTCCTTCTATTTTGGCAGATCATGAGAGAACCGCCTCCAAATACAGCAGTTGTGCACCCACCCCTGGAACTCTAGGGATGGGAACAAGAACTGAACTTTACTGATTCAAAACCAGTGACAATGTACTAACTGTAAAATGTCAACACTTCTCCCCCCACATCTGCTTGACTGCCAGTTAAGTCACCTCATGTGTAATGAACAAGTCTGCTCATTTTTACAATGAGATAAACATAGCACCTCAAATGCCAGTATGTGTTTCTCCAGAAAACTACATTTTAAACAGAACAGTTCAATTCCCCTTCAAAAGGGGGAGAACTAGAAGTTTGGGGTGAAGGACACAAATTCTGACTGAATCAGAAACAGAAACATGCCTTGGACCAACATTCTCTCATACCAAAGCCAACAGCTGAAACTACAGATCTGTCTACAGCCAATCATGTGCCAGGACTCTTGTATGTCACAATGATCTAGCTAAGGTTTTCTATTTCTATAGCAACAGTTCGTGTCCGAGTGACCCTGCCTGCATGTAGGGTCAAAGTGGATACCTAGTGCTAGGGACAGCCTAGAATTCAGAAGTCAGTGATGTCATAAGAACCTAGTGAGTTCCAGAGTATTTTCTGAACAAATGCCAATCTTCTAGAAGTGGACACTGAGGGATACAGTCAGACTTAAACTGTGGATCAGTACTTAACAGAACAAAAGGTGGGACTCTTCCCCCTACCTGACTCTTCATGAAGAGTGAAGGTTCAGCACTGACACAAAGTGCTCACCTGCCTATCGACCTGCAGTGATGTCAAAGTGACAGACTTTAGAGAAACACAGGCAAGATAGATGGGAATATTCAATCCTTCTAGGGTGGAAAATAAGCTTTATATATTTTTTTGGCAGTCATGGCTGACTAATAGGAGTTAAGGTGACTGTATGAATGGCGTTGTACAGTGCAGGGGAGCAAGCACCAGCCATATGAATACTAGGAGAGCAGGACAGTTACACTGGTAGCTCAAGAGATCTCATTCTGGTGAGTGGTTCATGGGTCCCCAAAGGCCAGGCCAGAGTTCAGCTTCCAGTTAGGTTATCTGGAAGGAACAGTATGTGACTGCTGTCAGTCTTCATTATGGCAAATATACCTGGCTAATGAGGGCAGAGAATGAAGGTCTGATAAATAAACCTGTCTTGGAGAGGAAGAAGACAAAGTCTCTTCATTCCTATCAGCAGCCAAGAGAGTAGAGTAGAGTTCACTTCCTTCCCCAATTTCTACAAAAGTTAAGGGACAGTGCTTACCAGATGTCTTCTAGCAAGGTTGAACCTGGAGCAGAGCTGCTGCCCAGCACCATGATGGGATGATCCCTTAACCTCTAGGTTGATGACTCAACTAACTCTGGTTAAGGCTGTGTTAGTCACTGGTATTTTTAGTAAGTCATGGACCGGTCACAGCTAGGGGTGCAGGCTCTGGGGTGGGGCCAGGGATGTGGGGTCTGGGGTGCAGGCTGCCCCAGGGCTACAGTGGGGAGAGGACCCCCCAAGCTTTCCCCACAGCAGCACCTGGGCTGGGGGTGCCTCTCCTATGGCCACAGCAGGCCTGGGAGGAGAGGAATCTCTCCCTGCTGCAGCCCTGAGCACCTGTGTGGAGCTTAATAGGCTGCTGTGCAGCTTAGAGGGAACTTGGCCCATAACCTGTTCATGACTTGTACTATACCCCTGACTAAATATGGGGAGGGCTGGGGGGAGGATGCCCCGGGGGGGCACTGTGGGGGGAGTTGGTGGGGCTGACAGGTTCCCAACCTGGCTTCTCAGAAGCAACATGTCCCTCCCTAAGCTCCTAGCTCTGTGCGCTGCCAGCACCATAGCTCCCATTGGTTGGGAACAGTGCAGGCAGTGCCTCTGGGTGGAGGCAGCACACAGAGCTAGGAGCTGAGGGAGGGATGGACAGACATGTTGCCCCTTCTGGGAAGGGCCCCACCAAAGTAAGCACTGCCCAGAGCCCTCACCCCTCCCACACCAAATATCCTCCCACTGCTGGGGGGCAGGCAGTGGCCTGAGACTACCCCAGCAGTGGCTGGTGCAACTGGTCCATGGGCTGCCCCAGAAGTCACAATCATCAAATTGGTGACCAACTCGCAGCCTAAACTATATAGTTTGAGCTCAAGGTGAGGCCTACTTAACTCTGAGGCAGTGATCAGAGACTAAGTCTAGACCATAAAAATGGTGAAACACTAGTTAGGTGTCAGTAGCAGCTGTTAGTCTGTATTCGTAAACACAAAAGGAGTACTAGTGGCACCTTAGACTGACCAATTTATTTGAGCGTAAGCTTTCGTGAGCTACAGCTCACTTCATTGGATGCATCCGATGAAGTGAGTTGTAGCTCACAAAAGCTTATGCTCAAATAAATTGGTCAGTCTCTAAGGTGCCACTAGTACTCCTTTTGTTTACTAGTTAGGTGGTGGTTTCAATCCCATAACAGGTATCTCAAACATTGTATGACTTGTGAAAAGCTACTTCCATGGCTTTTTGGAGGAGGTGGGGACTAGTGTGTATGGTAATGCCCTAAAAGGGACTGGAGATGCATGGTGGGCTAGGAAGAGACCTCAAGACACTATTGAGGCAAACAGCTTAGTAGGAGTCAAAATTGACTTACGTGGCTCACATGATCCACAGTTCCATAAGATAGAATGCAATAGGATATAACCTTTATGCTTCAAGAGAAAAGCCAATCATTAACTGATAACATTTAGGAAAAACTTCCCTTAATGGACTAACCAGACCAGAGGGGGTTTCTTTCATCGTCCTTTGAAGCATCTGGTGTTAGCAGAAACCACCACATCAGGCCGACTAGTGATGGCTGAAGCATACTAGTTTGGGCAAAAGTAGTGTTGTGAAAATTTACCTACTTTCAGGCTGCTGAATCCTTCTGAGGGAAGTTGGGGACTCTTGGACTTTCCTGAGAGAGTGCTGGGTGACCACTAATCTGAGTGGTAAGGAGGGAAAGCTGCTGGGGCCAAGTGTCCTGGATTGGCACTCTGTGGTAGCAAGCAGGGAAGACCTGCTCCCTAGAAGGAGCAGAAGAGAGCTCCTCCACTTCTGGCATCTGCTTTTGCAAGTCTACTACTTGGGAAGTTGGTTTGGTTTTGTTCAATTGTACCAGCCTTCCAAGCTGCCAGTGGATGCTAAGCTTGAGTTCAGACACAGCTTGCCTGGAAATGCAAGTAATCAGTTTATGTTGGTCAAAACCAGTTCTGTGTTCAAACTTCTGTTAAACACTTTGGATTTAGATTGTAAACTTTTTGAGGCTGGGACTGTCTTTCTAGGTTAGCCCCACATAGACTATCAGTAAAAGAACAAACTCAAATCCAGAATATTGGGGACCAATAATATAGTAGGAAAATCCCCCTCCTAACATCAAGGGATTAGCAAAATGAAATTATGAAACTGAGAAATATCTGAACTGTGATGGGAATATGCTATGCACTTAGGTCAGTGCACTAAAATAACATCCAATACTTAGTGCTTGCTATTGCTTGCAGAACTGTTGAGGACCATAGTGCTGAGACAACTGAAGAGACTAAGACTGAAGAATCTCAGTTAAATATGTTTAGATCCAAAGGTAAGCAAAAAGGAATCTTACAACTGTCTTTTGTTGTAGACTAATACATTGCTCTAAACTTCAAATTGTTGAATTCCAAAATTGTATCTTATAAAACAAGAAACATGAACTGCAGGATAGTCTCCTGAGAAACCATGCTGAATTTAGCTTGGGTTGCAGTGGTGGTAGCCCTCAGGGAGGGTAAATATCCACTGGCACACAGTGTAGTAACACAAGCCCCTGCTGGGGTTGGGGCAGAGGCACTGAATGAGTTTGGCCTCTTGTGCCAGCTGTTCCTGTACAAGCATCTTTTGGCAGAATAGCATCCTCCTTGTTAGAGGATATGTGAAAGTATTAGTGGGAGGGAGAGGTTTCAAGTTCCCCATCTTTGTTCTCTTGCACACAGCTTGAATATAGTTCAGGTTTCAGCAAAACTCCAGTCTTAAAATAGAATCTGAACTACCTGCCAACTTGCCCAAAGTACAGAATAAGTGACAATTCACGTTATACCTTGGGTATAATCTCTCGGATCTGACCTCTTATTTCATAGTGGCAGAAGGAAAAATCTAAATGCAAGACATTACACTAACCTATTTATTTAATACTAGCTTCATCCCCTGCCTCAGGCCTATGGACAACACGACGGGATGGAGAAGTTAAACTGAGGCTAGATCAACATGGTATTGGTAGTGAGACACCAAAGACTGTTCATGAAGTATTCCAGGAAGCTGTTAAAAAATATGGTAACTATTTTGCCCTTGCATCAAAGAAGGGTGACAAGTGGATAAAGCAAACTTATAAGCAATACTATGAGGAATGCCGGAAGGCAGCAAAAAGCTTTATAAAGGTATGTCTTGTAGAACTTTTATTCACCCATCCACTATTACTGATTGCAGTAATGTCCATATTAAGTCACTGAAACTTAGGCAATGTTTATGTATGCCCTAATCTTACAGGAAGAGGGTGGGGCACAGTGGATAGTGTGGCTCACTATCATGGAGTCTTGAGATACACTTGCTAACTGAATTGTTCTGTCTGAAACCTCTCATGTGCTTGTGCCAGAGGATGACTCTTCAGGAGGCTTATGAGTTGGTTTTGCATCTTGGATATACTTAACATTCCTCAAAGGAATTTAAACTTAAACTCCAAACTTGGCTTATTCTGTTTTTAACTCTAAAAATGTGGGTTAATTCTAGATACATTATATAAATGTTCCTCCCTGCCCACATTCAAAAATTCAAGACCACCTTACAAAACTGTCAAACTTACCAGCCAAGCCTCAATCTGTTTGCATGTTCTCTGCTGCAATAAGTAATGAGAACCAAGGATGTGATTACTCTCTCCAGAGCAAGTGTTTCAAGTCTGGTTCCAAGAGGTCAGGCTCCTCTTAGACTTCTCAGCAACTGGCAGGAGCTGCTGCTTGACACCACTGTTACTATATGCAAGTGTCTGCTACTGTCCATGAAATGTTTAATCAAAATATTTCAATATTAAGGAAATGGCCAAACTGGGAAAAATGACCTTTGTATAAGAGTGAAAAGTTGCTCCAAAACTTTCTGCTTGGCTTTTCATTAGCATAAGTCTTGTCTGCCACCCTCTTGCAGAAACTCTATGGCGGAATATATTAGACCTCTTCTCCAGGTTTCACTCATGAGAGGATTTGTCAAACTAAAAATAGCATGTGCTTTCTGTTAACCTATTGCTCTAATTTAAAGCTCTGAAATCCAAGATTCCTGCCCTTTCAATTGCACAGTAAGAGTTCCTGCTGCAAAACCAGGAGGATTTTAGGTGAAATCCTGGTACAGTTGAAGTCCATAGCATACCAGCCCTGGGCTTCAATGGAGTCAGGATGGATGCCTTAGATATTAGATACATCACATTTTAAATTGAAATGTGACTAACCCTTTAACTATGTAAGGTACTAAATGCAAGGGTCTCAACGCTTTCTGCCACTTTAGCTTTTTCCAAGCCCACAGAGGGAGCAGATATCTGTCTGGATTAAACTCAGGAATTTGGATTCCTGATCTGGTCTTCCACTATAGAGTATTAATTCATGCTAATGAAGTGGTCTTATTGTATTTGCTGGGAGTCTGCATTTGCACTTTGTCAGCATTGAACAAAACAGAGCAATATATTGAGATTAAATTTAAACTTGTGTTTTGGTTCTGTGCTAATTCTTGAGGGAATTTCTTTAATGTGAATCCTCTTGTACACTGGCTGAGCTTTTTCTTGATGATTAAGCTCAAAGTATATGCCTGCTTCTAGCAGCCATATAGAAAAGATGTTCAAACTAAGGCTATGTCTATACTATTAATGTTGGCAAAACTATATTCAGGAGTGTGGAAGAAAAACATCTGAGCAACAAATTTCACCAGCAAGAGCGGTGGTGTACACAGGGCTATGTCAATGGGAAAGCTTCTCCCACCAACATAGCTACTGCTGCTTGTTGAGGTGGTTTTATTACATCAACAGGAGAGCTCTCTCAGCATGGAGCAGCTACACAAGCAATCTTACAGTGGCACACGTGCCACTGTAAGTTCACTAGTGTATACATGGCTTAACTCATCTTAAGGCATTTATTTTTCCCAAGAGAAATAAGTTCTATCCGATCTTTATTTACAGTTGGGATTGGAGCGTTTCCATGGAGTGGGCATTCTGGGATTTAATTCTGCAGAGTGGTTTATTGCTGACATTGGAGCTATTCTAGCTGGGTAAGAAACCAATTTAGTCTTTTTAAAGTGCCAGGGCAAGCTATCCTATTTTCAGATGCCAATAGGTGTTAAAAACATGATTGAACAATTGATGTCAAAGGCTCTACTCTTTATTTGTGGTTAGCAATTTGTTTAGACTCTAGATATACCTCTTTATCATTAGACCTCTAACAAATGAACAAGGTGGGCTAGAAGGATACATATATAGCTTGGTTAGAGCAGGGGTCTCAACCTTTCTTTCAGAGCCCCCCCTTCCACATGCTATAAAAACTCCACTACCCACCTGTGCCACAACTGGTTTTCTGCATATAAAAACCAGGACTGGTAATAGGGGGTAGCAAGCAGGGCAATTGCCTGGGCTCCCACACCACAGGGAGCCACATGAAGCTAAGTTGCTCAGGCTTTGGCTTCTGCCATGGGTGGTGGGGCTCAGGGCCTCAGGCTTCAGCCCCATGCAGTTGGTCTTCAGCTTTCTGCCCTGGGCCCCAACTAGTCTAATCCTTGGTGGACTCCCTGAAACCTGCTCATGGACCCCAGTTGAGAATCACTGGATTAGAGGATGTCGTGCTTCCAGAATGCTGAGCTGAAGCAATAATATGCTGGTCTGAAAATGTTTCATTGCACTTCATGTTGCAGGGGAGGGGAGAGACTACTAGTCCTGTAACTGAGCAGAGGTTCTGCAAAGAATCTAGTATATTGTGGCTCCTGAAAAACAAATCCTAGATCTTTATGAATGGAACTTCAATTTCTAGAATTTAGCACAAAGGAGGTATCCTCTTTAACCTTTTTTGTAATGGAGCACTTTTCCAGGTGGGAGGGCTCTGTTAAAGAGGCCAACTTCTAAGACTGAAATCCTTAATTACCCTCTAACTCTGATTTATTTATAGTGGTTTTGCTGTTGGCATCTACACCACAAACTCTCCTGAAGCCTGCCAGTATGTAGCAGAGAACTGTGGTGCTAATATCCTGGTTGTGGAGAATCATAAACAGCTGCAGAAAATCCTAGAAGTAAATATCTTTTTATAGAGTTTAGGGGTGGCTGTGGCATATGGAAAGCATTTGGCTGGGTTAGATAGTCAAGCAAGTATTTAAATTCCATCCCTAGCTCTAACTTAGGGTGTGTTCCTTCTCCTTTTTATTCATTCTGTCAAACCAAGAAATGCCTGTTCTTTCTGGGCTGGGGATGGAAGGGGACTTGACCGTACAGCAGAACTCCCACTTCCCCCTGCAACTTCAGACTGCACCTGGTGTGTGCTATAGCACTCTAAAGGGATATGGTGGAGTACAAACACTCACTAATGCTGGCAAGCCTACCTGTGAGCAGGCAGGGAAGCCAAACTGGGACTAGAGTGGCAAGGTGATTGCAATGTTAAATATAAAGACTGGAATCATTAACTGAATTTGAACAGTCCAACCTGTGCTCTCACCTATCAGAGGTGGATGGGAGGGGGCTGGTAGCCAAAGCAACTTTGAAAGGGAAGTTAAAACTATAAACCCTTCTAGTCAAGGCTCTGAAGTTTTACAGGAACACCTTGATTTTCAGAAAGCATCATGGGATTTTTAGTGATGCTTAATTTTTGCTTGTGGTATTGTGACTGTTTCAGTCTGGATAATTACTTTCTAACTACCTGAAGTTAGAATCCAACAGGCTTCAAACTATATCATTAAATAGTATTAATATTCTTCACTCCAAAGGTGGCTGCAATTTCAGTTGTGGGTGAAGCTATTGTCTTCAGACTACAACAAAGTTCTGTTGCATACATCAAGCTGAAAGGAAGGCACAAGAAACACTAATTTACTCTGATCCCTGGCTTCCACTTTACTGCAGGTTCAGCACAAGCTCCCTCTTCTGAAAGCAATCATCCAGTACAATGGAGAGCTTAAGGAGAAGAGACCAAATCTCTACACTGTAAGTAATGACACTTAAGTAACATTTGAGATGTTGCTTGCATATAACACATACCTCTGTAAATAACTAGCTACACTTTGATGGTGCTGCAAGTACACCTCAACATGCAGCTGTAGTGAGTAATACTGGCAAACTGTCCCATTGCCATCTCTCATGGCTCACCTATGGAGGGGCCCCTACTAGATGATTCTTGTTCATTAGGGAACAGTTTGGGGTGGGGAAAGTTCTCTTATGTTCTTTCATAAATTGCTTACCCTTGTATGCAGTGGATGGAGGTGGGAGGGGGAAATACTACAAGATAATTCTCCACTCACACAAGTGGTAACTCCACAGCTGTGTGGAGTGGATGTAATGACTACACAAAGTAAAAGCCATGTAGAAGTAGGCCCTTTATTTCTCAAACTCTCTGGAGGATAACCCTTTCCAATAAAGCACAACCAATGACTTTCCTGCTAGTGTTCCCTGTCCTATTTTTAAATAAGCCCTTAGACAGGACATCAGCAAGACTCAATGAAATCACTAACAGCCCAGGAAACTCCCTCAAAACTACTCCCCCAAACATGTCTTCCTTCATGTGTCAGTAGAACAAAATCACTGCACTGGGGCCAAACACACCTGTGTTCCTCCCCACACACCCCATATCCACAGCTTTATACACTATTGTAATTGAAGTAAATTCTTGATTGGAAAGACTTCCATGGACTAATGGAAGATATAATTAGATGTGTAAACTGTGACAAAGTTCTGTCCTTGCCTCCATGGGTCCCATGTTTCCTGGCACATTTCACTAGCCTCAGAGGCTCACTGTGACCCTCCACATAACCCTTCTCTCTAGAGACAAGGATCATAGTCAGCCATTTTTATCATAAGCAGGTGAGGGAGGTGAGAAGTTATCCATCCTTGCACAGTCTCTCCATGATTAATCAGGGGGCAACCCAGGCCCACCCTCTACTCCAGGCTCCAGTCCAGGGACCCTAATAGTATCAGCTATGGTAGCTGACCTTTTAGAAACATGACTTAAAATTCCCTGGGCTACTTCCCCCACAACAGCCCTCACTTCCTCAAGCTTCGCTTCACCCTTACCTCAGGGCCTCCTTCCTTGTGCCTGATATGGTGTGTACTGCTCAGTCACTCTAACAGCACAACTTCCTCCCACAGCTCCTGACATGCACACCCACCTGACTGATTGGGAGGCTTTTAACTAGTTTCAGCCAGCCCCTGATTGGCTTCAGATGTCCCAATCAACCTAGTATTCTCCCTGCCTTCTGGAAAGTTCTTAATTGGCCCCAGGTGTTGTAATTGACCTGGAGCAGCTGCCATTTTACTTATTCTGGTGCCAGGGATTTGTTTAGCCTGGAGTTAATATCTCCCACTACTTTTCTATAGCCATCTGACCTTACCCTGTCACAAAACCTATGAAATCTCACTGGAAAAACAATAGTGGTCTTCACCAATTTAAATTCCTCCACCTACCCACCCCTTCCAGACAGCTTAGTTGCATATGTGAAAGATGGTGTAAAGCCTGACCAAGCTCTTTACTTTTGAATGCAGTGGAGTGAATTTATGGGCCTTGGCAGTGGTGTTCCAGATTCCCAGCTCGATAAGATCATCGATTCCCAGAAGCCTAACCAATGCTGTATGCTGATATATACCTCAGGAACAACTGGACAGCCAAAGGGAGTTATGCTCAGTCATGATAATGTAAGTATTCTTGCCTAACTGCTATTGGTGTTCAGACTTCACTGGGATGCACTATTTTTTTTTAAATAGTGTTGAGGTTGGAAGAATGGCTCTAGCCAAAATATTTAACATTGGGACATAATGGAAACAAACACAAATTAACTTTGGAACAGTTTCTCTTTTCAAGACCACTTTGTTTAAGCAAGATTTGGCAAAATTCATTTACTTCTGGTCAGAGTGAGGCAAATCATGCCTACATTGTCATGCCCCACATGTGTATGTCCAACACACCCATGGCTTGGTCAGAATAGATCTCTAGGAAAAGATATTAGGCATATTTTGTCCTAAAAATGCAGACAACCATTTTGTACATGTTGAAATTAGTCTGTCACTACAAGGGCGGTTCTCTCTCTCTCTTTCTCCTATAACCCAGATCAGGACACTGAAACTGTTACTGGGTTTCTTGTAGACTTGGGCCCTACTGTTCATTACTGCTACTAATAGCTAGCTCTTAGGTCTTTTAAGTCTCAAAGAAATGTACAAAGATCAGTATCTTCATTTTACAAAGCTTAACCTTGGCCAGCATTCATGTGGGCTATTAATGACATACCCTCGCCTTCCGTCAAATGGAATGGCAGAGCCACTAACCTAGACACTCCTCCATGGTGGTCTCTGCATAGAGGTGACTGAAGTAGTTTGGGGTAGCTTGTTTCCCTAGTATTACTGATGCTGTTTTACACACCTTATGTAGTTGGCAATTAGTCTGCCAGCAAAAAAGTCAAAACGGATTCAAGAGATGCTCTGAAAGATTATGCTCTTTGTTCAGCTGGTGAATCTGTTAAGACACCAAGAGAGACTCTGAAAAGCAGAGTACTTGGATTCAAGGGCTACACCGTGTGTGTGAGGAAGGATAAGTATGGGTCAGATCAAAATCGAGTCTTTAGCCTAACTCCAAAAGCATTGGACTGGTTTGTTTTATGGCTGTGACTTGGTCTTCTGTGGATGCAAGTTCATACAATTTGCTTTTAAATCCTACTTAAGCTCTAAGTCGGGGTAGGCAAACTACAGCCTGAGGGCCACATCCAGCCCTCCAGACATTTTAATCTGGCCATCAAGCTCCAGATTCTGTGCTGCTCCTGGAAGCAGCAGTGTGTGTCCCATCTCTGCTCCTATGCGTAAGGGCAGCCAGGGGGCTCCATGCACTGCCCCAACCCCAAGCACAGCCCCTGCAGCTCCCATTGGCTGGGAACTGCAGCAGCAGCGCCTGTGGACGGGGCAGGGCGCAGAGCTGCCTGACCACACCTCTGCTATAGGAGCCGGAGGGAGGACATGCTGCTACTTCGTCTTTGTCTTCAAGCATGTATGGCTGCCATACAATTTCCATACCCAGATGTGGCCCTTGAGCCAAAATGTTTACCCACTCCTGCTCTAAGTGCTACAGTCCCAGTCTCCCAGACGGTGATTCTAGATTGAAAACCAAGTAGTACTGGCCACAGACACTAAAGCAATCAAGGCGAACGTGACTGAGATGTCATGGTAGGTTTAATCTCCGCTTTCTCTGTGTGTACACAGAAGCTACTTACAGAGTGTCTTTCCCCAATTCTCTTGATCAAAACTAATTCAGGACTGGATCCAGGATGCTTTCTTAGTGTCTGAACAGGCCCAACAGTGAACATGAGAATTTCCAGACCAGTGCTCCATCTAGTCCAATAGCCTGTCAAAAGGTTCAAGACTGCCCTGCTGTGAGCAATGATGGAAATACCTGCCCATAAGTGAAATTTCTTTCTGCTTCCTCAGAGTATAAATGACACACACCCCTTCAGTCACCCCTGAGAAGGGGTAGTATAAAGGGGGAGGCAGACTGCTGCCCTTCCAGTAGCAGGGGGCTGAACATGTACTTGAAGCCTACATCTAGGACCAACAGAAGTAGGCCATATAATACAGGATGAAGGGACTCTATTCCCCAAGACACACACATCTTTGTGTTATTGCTTCCAGGGATAATCAGCTGAACATGAACTCCCAGTGTGGCACTGACCTAAAGGGCTAATGCAATCTTTGGAAGCATAAATGGGAGAATCTTGAGTAAGACTAGAGGGGCTTTCACTTTTTATTTTTTTATTTTAAATTGGTCATTGAGACCATAGCTGGACTACTGTATCCACAATTCAAAAATGATAAACTGGGGAGGGCTTGGAGGAGAGCCCAGAGAATGATTTAAAGGATTGGAAAACATGCCTTATAGGGAATGGATAGGCTCAAGGTGAGGGATCCAACTAGTCAAGTGCCTAAGTCCCCGTTTTGGCTCCACTGTGATCCACACCACTCCTGCTGAATTCTGTAGGCGCTGAAACTCACATGGTGCCTAAGCTTCTTGTTCAGGGTAAATGTTCCCTCCATGCCTATGTTTCATGCTCCAGCCCAGCCTAGACAGTGACTTTCAAATCAAGGAAAGACCAGCTTTCAGTAACTAAAACCTCATGCAGAGCCTGATCTCATAGTGGCCTCCAAGGAAGCCCACTGGAGCAGCTCTCATTCAAAATCTGGCTGGAGGAGGGGGTAATGGTGGTGCCCACTAGCTCTTAGCCCCAATAGCTAAAGCACTCACCTGGATTATGGGAGACCCAGGTGGAATTTCCACTGCTGAGGTGGGCTCTACCACTGAGCTGTAGGACATTCTGATGTGGGGCGGTCACTGGACAAGAGAATGGGAATGACTGTGTAGCCCAGTGGTAGGGCACTCGCCTCCTGGGTCCAGTCACACATTATTTACACACAGTGGAACAGCTTCCTCAGGAGAAACTGAGCCCCACATCAGAATATCCCAGACCTCCATGGCTAGAGCACACTTGTTCATATGCTCCCTTCTCCCCCTCTGCCAAAGAGGGGGAATTGAACTTGGAGTTCCTGTTTCCCAGGTGTGTTCTAACTTCTGAGCTAGAAGCTGTTTGTAAGGGGGCATTACCCCCTCCAGCCACTTTGTGTGGAGTGGGGCAGAGTCTAACTCAGTCTCATGAGAAATTACTTCAGTGCCTAAACTACCTCACTCCAGATGACAGGTTCCCATTCATGGATTGCTAAGCAGAGATAGGCACCTTTAGGACACACCCCTCTGGTCCACATCTCCCACTGGCTATCTTAGCAGGCTTCCCATCTAACATGGCTTTTGTGAATTGCATTCTTAGGTGCCTATCTCTCTCTATTTGTTAGAGGAAGCTTAGGTACCTAACTTGGCATTATGGATCTCCATGTTTTTTCCTGTGACTTTCTGGATGCCTAAAAGTTAGGTGCCATGATGCTCAGCATTGCAACACCTGAGTCCTTTCATGAATCCCACCCAAGGAGCACTAGGATAGTTAGTCTCACAGAGAAGGCTAAAGGGTGACTTGGTCAGCCAACAGGTATCTAGAGGGGGAACACATACCTGCTCAGGCATAGGTGAGGTTTTTTGCAGGAGTGGGTAGGTGAGATTCTGTGGCCTGCATTGTGCAGGAGGTCAGACTAGATCATAATGGTCCTTTCTGACCTTAGTATCTATGATTGTCTCTTCAGTCTAGCAGACAAAGATATAACAAGCCAATGTCTGGAAACTGATGCTAGAGACCTTCAGACTGGAAATAATTGCCCTCTTAAAAATTTAGACCTTAACCACTGGAAGAATTTACCAAGGCTCATGGTAGATTCTTAATCAATGGCAGCTAGTAAATTAAGATAGCAGATCTTTCAGAAAAACATCTGTAGTTCAAAAGGAATTATTTTGGGAGTTCTATGGCTTGTGTTACGCAGGAGGCAATTAGATCACAGTGGTCCTTTCTGGCCTTGGAATCTAGTAATCTAATTCAGTTACCTGCTTAACCTTAACTGATAGGGCTCATTCTGATCCCCCCCCAATTGGTTAAGTTAAACACAAGTTTCAAACTAGCCAAAGAGACCAGGAAAAGGGAGAAACTCTCAAAGTGAAATGAAATGTTTAATGGATTTAAAACACACACAGCATACTTTCTGTGAACTACAGAGTATCTAAACTTTAAATGACATCAGTGTTGTCCTTGCAGGCTTGTTCAGAACCACTAGTGTGAATGGTAACCATGAGATGCTTGTTTTCAGATAACTTGGACTTCACTATCAGCAGGGCGCTATGTACAACTGACAGATGCTACTGAGCAACAGGAGCTGGTGATCAGCTACCTTCCCCTCAGTCATATTGCTGCTCAAATGATTGATATTTGGCTGCCAATAAAATGTGGTGCACAAGTTTTCTTTGCTCAACCAGATGCACTGAAGGTAAGGACTACGCTACTTAATCTAGATCCCTATAGACAGTAACAGGGCTGTATCTTGGGGGGAGGAGTGTTGTCACGAGGAAACCTAGGTTGGCCATGAACAAAGCTGACAATCCCAAGAAATTCAGATTGTTTATCCAAGTAATAATAAATTACACCAATTTTGTAACATAAAACAGACCCTTAAACTTGAGACACAAGCAAGTAACTTGCATCTATTCACCTTTCTGCTGCGTATGGTACAAAGATGGATAAGGTGACCATGTACTCTGAATCTATATGAATATATTGGGTCCTTATGTCATTTTCAGACACTCTCTATTCTGCAACTTTCCTTTCTAATAGCAGGGTAGTGCCATGGGTTTACTGGCCATACTCCAAAATCTCTACCCTGATATGCAAAGGGCCAGGTTTTTGCCCTTCATGCAGAGTTGGCACATGTGCATCTGGGGTCCAAGCAAGGGGCATTAACGTGCCCTGGCCTTTGAAAACCAGAGTTTCTGACAAGCACTCAGAAAGCAAACTCCTCTCCACGTTGCTAGCAATACAAAAAGGCAAGGTGGCTAGTATGAATGTTTCAGGGCTAGACTAATTGCTGAGCATGAGAGGTTAGTTTCTGGGGGCACTTAGCTTTTGCTTGGGAGTGACATTTGACACTAATCTGGAGTCCACAGTATAGTAGCACTATGGCATATTGTGAGTTGGATTCCTGAAAGTTGAAATGAGGGCTGATTCTGGGTTTGTGCCCCTTGAAGATGAGTGTACTATAGGAATGGAGTACTCTACTCATTTGTAATAAATACTGACTTAATCCACTGTCGGTGGCTTTTGGAAGGAAATCTAGGTGTCAACTAGAAACATCTTCTGAACAAAAGTGGTTTTAAACATTTAAAATTCTACTTCATTTAGGGCAGCTTGATAGACACATTACGGGAGGTCAGACCAACAGCTTTTATGGGAGTTCCTCGCGTCTGGGAGAAAATACAAGAAAAAATGAAATCTGTGGGTGCAAAATCATCTGCTCTCAGAAGAAGAGTGGCAGCATGGGCTAAGGAAGTAGGATTACAAACTAACCTGAAACGGATGAATGGGTAAATTTTTTTAAAAAGCAATTTACATGCAGCCTGTAGATCCTAATAGCATATTTTGCTCTATTCTGTTGGGATGCTATCAAACGTAATATACAGGATTCTGTCTTTAACTAATGGTCTGTTGTAAAAAGTTAAGAGCATCTTCTGAAACTAAGTAGAAGCTTGGCTGTCTAGGCTGTTCAAGGACTAGTGAAGAGTTCTGCACTTAGGAAGGAAGAATCCCATGCACTGCTACAGGCTGGAGACCGACTGGCTAAGCAGCAGTTCTGCAGGAAAGGACCTGGGGATTACAGTGGACGAGAAGCTGGATATCAGCAGTGTGCCATTGTTGCCAAGAAGGCCAATGGTCTATTGGGCTGTATTAGTAGGAGCATTGCCAGCAGATCGAGGGAAGTGATTATTCTCCTCTATTTGGCAACTGGAGTACTGCATCCAGTTTTGGTCCCCCCCCCCCACTACAGAAGGGATGTGGACAAATTGGAGAGAGCCCAGCAGAGGGCAACAAATGATTAGGGGGCTGGGACACATTCTCTTATGAGGAGAGGCTGAGGAAACTGGGGTTATTTAGCCTGCAGAAGAAAAGAGGGGAGATTTGATAGCAGCCTTCAATTACCTGAAGGGGAGGTTCCAAAGAGGATGGAGCTCAGCTGTTCTCAGTGGTGGCAGATGACAAACGAGAAGCAGTAGTCTTAAGTTGCAGTGGGGGAGGTCTAGGTTGGATATTAGGAAACACTATTTCACTAAGAGGGTGGTGAAGCACTAGAATGGGTTACCTAGGAAGGTGGTTAAGGCCTGGCTTGACAAAGCCTTGGCTGGGATGGTTTAGTTGGGGTTGGCCCTGCTTTGAGCAGGGGATTGGACTAGATGACCTCCTGAGGGCTCTTCCAACCCTAATAATCTATGATAAGAGACTAACCTGAGTCTCTTTCAATTCTTCTTTTAAAGGGCTTCTGAACTCCCAGTGGACTTCCGTCTAGCCAGGCAGTTGGTGTATAAAAAAGTTCGGAAGGGTCTCGGGCTGGATCGATGCACAAAATGCTACACTGGGGCTGCCCCAATTACTAAAGAGACTCTGGAGTATTTCCTGAGTCTGGACATTCCTGTGTATGAGTTGTATGGCATGAGCGAGAGCTCTGGACCTCACACAGTCTCTCTTCCAGACACATTCAGGATCACTAGGTATGTATTCCTCATTGTGGAGAGGAACTAGATAACTGACTCTTACATAAAGAAGAACTTCATTAGAGTTTCTCTCATACCAGAAACTTATAGACAACTTGGATCACTGCTGCCCTCCACTGAGACAGGCAGCTCCCCTCCTTCAGCCTGTACCAGCATCAGCTAGCCACCAGTAAGAGGGGATTGGGAGCAAGCCAACTTCTCAACTGTATGGCTGAGGTACAGGAATGGTGGAACTTGGCAGTGGCCTATAGAACAGGAGCTCTGTTTTAAAGCCTAAATCAGCCAGGCTCTCTAGGAGGCACAACTGAGAAATGGAGGGATAGAGAGAAACTGGTAAAAGAGGAATAGTCATTTGTTTCTCAGACTTCTACTCTGGCACACAACCATTCTTCATGATATAGTTAATACATCCAGTAATTTGTAATATATTCACATTATCTTTCTTAATCTTTGAAATCACAAGTCCCTGTTTATTCAGTGTTTGGAATAAATAGCTTAATTAAAATACAATTTTCTAAACCTAAGGTATTCTAAAACAATCTTCTGAAAACACTAAGGGCAGATCTATGCTTAAAACACTGCAGCCAGGCTGCAATGGCACTTCAGTGAAGACCCTACCTGTGCCAGTGGGAAGGCTTCTTCCATCAGTGTAGGTAGTCCACCTCCCTCAGAGGCAGTAACTAAATCAACAGGAGAATTCTCCTGTCAACCCAGTGTTGTCTACACTGGGAGCTAGGTCTGTTTAACTGCATCACTCAGGGGTCTGGATTTTTCATATCCCTGAGCAACATAGTTATAGTGACTTAATTTCCTAGTGTAGACCTGGCCTAAATGCCTAGTACAGGGGTGGCCAAACTTGCTGAAGCCCCGAGCCCTGGCAGGTGCATCTGGCTCTTAAACTTCTGGAGATTATTGTATGCAGCTTGGAGGGTCAGTAAGTTTGGCCACCCCTGGTCTAGTAGGTCCTAATCTCTCTAGTTAATATCGGATCCATTGTAGGTCTCATTACACTACACTGACAGGCAGCTTATAAACAAATGAATTCCTTGCTGAAAGATGTGACACCACAAAGCCATGAGACATACTCAGGTTGTGCAAATACTTTTAAATACTTTTTTTAAATTTTAAGTGGTACTGATAGGGAATCTAACAATTTATAGCTTTTAGCATACTGAATCTTAAGGAGAATGTGTCCCTGTTTTAGCTGTGGAAAAGAGATTATAGGCTGCCGGACAATGATTTACAAGCCAGACAATGATGGCAGTGGAGAGATCTGTTTCTCAGGTAGACACATCTTTATGGGCTATTTGAACATGGAAGATAAAACCAAAGAGGCCATTGATGATGAAGGCTGGCTCCATTCGGGTGATCTTGGCAAGCATGACAAGAATGGATTCCTTTACATCACTGGAAGAATTAAAGGTAATACCTCATCCTTGGTTTGAACTGTCTGGCTGCACCATCCTGTACTATGAACTGTTACTACTTGCAAGCTAAGTAGGCCTCTATCATGACTTGGTATCAAATAAGTACCTCAGGAGTTATCCACTTATGACCTAGCCTGGCATCAAGGTGATGTGGTAGGGTATTCTAAATGTGGTGTAAAAATGCTGCAAAACTAAAGAACAAATTGTAGAAGTCAAGACTTCAAAAGGGGGTGGGGGGTTTAAAGAGCCAGTGGCCTGCTCTGCAACATATTGTCTAAGGCTGAGTCTTGCTGGCTATAGTCTGACTTCAGGGAATCAAGACTGGCAGAGTAACTCTTCTAGTTTCAATGGGCTGTGGTATTAGCTCTTACCACATCATCCACCTTCTCAGTCAGATGAGCCAGCTATTTGGATATAAAACTTTATTAAGGGAAGCCATTCCCAGGAGTGGCCTGTATATGCCACTCCTTGCTATGAAGGACACCTACTTAGATCACAGATCTGCTTTTGTATCTGTCCTATAGAAACTTGATTTATCTGTCCTAGTGTGTCCTCTTCAGAGAGAAATAGTTGATCCTTCCACCTTTGCGCTGTCAGTAGCACAAGCGTACTAGGGGAGGCAGTGGGGGGGGGGAAAGGATTAGCATTTCCCTCAGGGGGATGGGAGGGAAACTCTCTGGCAGCAGATCATTATACTGCAGATGTAGGAGGCACTGCTTGGCCGTATAGGGTATCTTCCACTAGGGTTCTGGTGTGTACAGGCTCCATTCACTGAGTGGTGGGGGGGCAGTTGGGGGGTTTTTTCTTTGGCCTCCTCTATACAGCTGTTTATACCCATGCTATCTGGGCATGTGCTATCTGTACCCCTACATTCTACTGTAAGGGAAGAATAGCCTTCGTCCCATCTCCCCCGGCCCCTTATCCTCTTCTCAAAGGGTCTAAAACTGCCTAGTTCTGAGCCACTGTAGCAATGTCCCCCTCCTGTCTCGCAGCTCTAGGGCACCTCAGACTGTCGCTGTCTACCCCTACCCAAATACATGGCTGGTCTTCAGTCTTTTGAGTACTGAATAGGCACCCCTCTGCATTGGCACAGACAGGGAAGAATCTGCCTCTGGGTCCTCCTCCAGTTCTGATACCTGGCTACCAGTACTAGAGTTCTAGTAAGGACTGGGTTAAATAGGGTCCCTCCCTGCCTGGGGTGTAGAAGTATGGCCCAAGACCCTTCCTTCAAGGAAAAGAGTAGTGAACAGTCAAGTAACAATAGCTTAATGGCTCCAAATGACCCCTACAGCAACAGCTCAAACTCCATAATCCCAGATGGTGGAGTCTCCCCAGGACCTAAGCACAAATAAGGCCAAGGGAGGGGATAGGGAAGAACGACTAATGGCAGATAGGGCTGAAGATCTTTTTTGTTCTTTGAATGCAAAAGAACAGCTAGTCTCTTTGCTCTTGGGGGCAGTTCCTCTCTGGGCTTTCCTAAAGGGAAGATTCTCCAGATCCTAGTTGGATCTGCACAAGTCAGGATGACCATTGTCCCAGGGAATCTTAGAGTACTAAGCTGTTAAAAGGTTCACCAAAAATAACCTGATACTCAAGGCCCCATGTACTACATAGCCAACTGTACCTAAAATTCTTCAGTCCTAAGTTCTCCAGTGCATTAGTGAAACTCCCCTCTACAGCAGTTTCAAATCTGTTAGTCACTTGTGTATTTTAATAGCACAGCAGACCATGTATGTCTTTATTAAATTGACTTTTAGGGACACATCATTGTTTGGTAGCTACAAGACTGAAGTTGGCTGTCTAACATGTGCAAGTGCTGTAATCTTTGCATATGTCAACTTGTCTCTGAAACCTACACTTCTCAAAACACAACTGAAACTAGTGAAAAATCGCATTTTCATAGTTATGCCTTACTGTCTTCTAGAGCTCATCATTACTGCTGGAGGGGAGAATATCCCTCCTGTTCCAATTGAAGATGCTGTAAAGGAGGCTGTTCCTATAATTAGCAATGCTATGTTAGTTGGAGACAAGGCAAAATTCCTTGCTATGCTTCTAACTCTGAAGGTATGGTTCTTTCCATTATCTCCTAATAAGTAGCCAGAAAATAAGATGAGCTATCTATCGCCTTAGCAGAATAGCTGTACTCTGAGAATAGAAGAGTTAAGAGGGCTTGTTGCTGTCAAATCAAAGATCTGAAACTGTATCTAATACCTGCAAATAAGCATTTCACAAACTAATCTTCTGATAAACACCAAACAGCATGTCATGCTGTAACTTTAAATTACAAGAACCTGACTGTAAGAAGTACATGGGAGCAACTGACTGCATGTTTAGATTCTATGGCTATAGTTTGGTTATGAAGAGGTGCAATTCATCCCTCTATATACATATTCAGCAAAATAGAAGGGAGTTGAAGTTGAGGACATGGAAGCAGTAAGATGCAAGAGGGAAAATGTGGTTCTCACTTGTAGTTCCTCCCCAAACCTCACCCACCATAGCAGTGACAAGCTGTAGCTTCTTTGTTTAAATCTGATTTGCTTTAAAAGTTTCCCAGGTTGGTAATGACAAGCTCAAGAGCCTGTAAAAACACCTGTTTTGATCTTTTTACCAAGTAAGATTGAGCTCTAGATTTCTGCAGGCTAGTTCCCACTCTCCATAATAAGAGCTGTTGGGTGCTGAGCTGTTAAGAGACCGTGACAAAGCAGTATGGGAAGCCTGTGCTGCATGCCTCTCCCAGATTCAATGCATTTCTTTTTCTAACTCCTAGAAATGCCCCCAATAATCAATGGGAAAAGAGCGTGAACCACAACTGTAGCTGTAACAAAATTAGCCCTAGAAATCCTTTACCTACTTCTAGAGCAGCCTAGGTGCTGAACAATTTTCCCCCAGCATGCTGAGATCTGAGGGGTTTCACTTGAACATCATCTCCTTCAACTACCAGGCGTCAGTGAATTGGTAAACACATCACCTTGGTGCAATAGCTTCTGGCTGTCTGCTTAGGATCAGCCAAGGTAGTAAGAAAATAAACTTTGCTGGGTTAAATAAGCATGTGACTGTAGAAAAGAACTACTTTTTTTTCTGTAGTGTAGAACCAGTGAAGTCATGGTTTTTCTGTCCTTCCTCTTACAGTGCACTGTAAATGAAGAAACAGGGGAACCAGAGGACGACCTTACTCAGGAAGCCATAGCATACTGTCTCAGATTAGGCAGCAAAGCTACAAAAGTCTCAGACATTGTAGGTGGCAAAGACAAAGCTGTTGATGCTGCTATCCAGAAGGGAATTGCATTAGTCAATGAGAGAGCCACCTCAAATGCTCAGAAAGTACAGAAGTGGGTCATTCTAGAAAAAGACTTCTCAATCTCTGGTGGAGAGCTAGGTAAGTGACCTGAGCTGCTACTACACTAGAAACAAATGCTGGACTCCTGATTTCAAATTAGGGGGTGGCTCATCTTCTCATTGCCCTAAAGTCCTGAGTGATGTGATCTCTTGCATGTATTATGATACTAAAGGCAGTCTTAGAATCATAGAATATCAGGGTTGGAAGGGACCCCTGAAGGTCATCTAGTCCAACCCCCTGCTCGAAGCAGGACCAATTCCCAGTTAAATCATCCCAGCCAGGGCTTTGTCAAGCCTGACCTTAAAAACCTCTAGAAGGAGATTCTACCACCTCCCTAGGTAACGCATTCCAGTGTTTCACCACCCTCTTAGTGAAAAAGTTTTTCCTAATATCCAATCTAAACCTCCCCCACTGCAACTTGAGACCATTACTCCTTGTTCTGTCATCTGCTACCATTGAGAACAGTCTAGAGCCATCCTCTTTGGAACCCCCTTTCAGGTAGTTGAAAGCAGCTATCAAATCCCCCCTCATTATTCTCTTCTGCAGGCTAAACAATCCCAGCTCCCTCAGCCTCTCCTCATAAGTCATGTGTTCTAGACCCCTAATCATTTTTGTTGCCCTTCGCTGGACTCTCTCCAATTTATCCACATCCTTCTTGTAGTGTGGGGCCCAAAACTGGACACAGTACTCCAGATGAGGCCTCACCAATGTCGAATAGAGGGGAACGATCACGTCCCTCGATCTGCTCGCTATGCCCCTACTTATACATCCCAAAATGCCATTGGCCTTCTTGGCAACAAGGGCACACTGCTGACTCATATCCAGCTTCTCGTCCACTGACACCCCTAGGTCCTCTTCCGCAGAACTGCTGCCTAGCCATTCGGTCCCTAGTCTGTAGCTGTGCATTGGGTTCTTCCGTCCTAAGTGCAGGACCCTGCACTTATCCTTATTGAACCTCATCAGATTTCTTTTGGCCCAATCCTCCAATTTGTCTAGGTCCTTCTGTATCCTATCCCTCCCCTCCAGCGTATCTACCACTCCTCCCAGTTTAGTATCATCCACAAGTCTTAAACTGCCCTGTGAATGTACAGTGTGTGTACTCCACTGTGCTGGACACTCAAGCAACAGAACTGTAGGAGCCTGTCAGCTAGGTAGGTTGGACAACAGCCACTTTTGGCACTCTGAAAGTCTGGCATGTAGTAACCAGAAATTGGTTGAGGTTTCTGGTTGACAGGAGAGAGGGGAGGAGATGCTGTCTGGCTTGTGGGTGGAACTGGTTGTGACCTTAGTCTTAGAGTGGGATGGCTTAATATTTCATTCCCAATTCCAACAAGCCTTGCTGGTAACCATCTGCACCCTGGCATCCTGTTGTAGCAACTTGTTGCTGCATCTGTAGCAGTTGAACAGTATCCAAATCTTTGATTTAATGTCCAAGCTTCAAAGTGAACATCCCCCAGAGGTATGGAAATTTGCAGTTTTGGAGTTAATGATTTCTGGTGCCTGCTCCTACTTAGGTCCAAAAGGGCAGAGTACTCTGAGGGGCACAAGTAGGTAGCCATTTGCAGGGCTGCTTAATTGCACTAGGTGAGGGAACCCGGTTAATCTCAGAGCTTGGCTACACTTGCGAGTTATAGCACATTTAAAGCAGCCCTGGGTGCCCTAGCTCACTACCTGTCCACACTGGCAAGGCACATAGAGTGCTCCTGGTACTCCACCTCAGCAAGAAGATTCACTTGTTGTGCCTCGGCTGAAACATCCAGGTGTCAGTGTGAACAAGGTGTTGCGTTACTGCACTCTGCCCTTAAGTCATGTGGCCACTCTTCTAATCGTTTTTGGAATCTCTGCAGGAATGCAGATATGCCCTTCAAAAGCTCAGTTTCTGACAGCTGGCATGCTTATCAGGAGGGAGAGCTGCTATCTGAACTTACCAGACAGCAGGCTGACATGCTTTCAGCCCCCCAACCCACTCTCTCCTCCCCCCCATACACACAACATGCTCCTTGTCAACTCCACCCCCCCATTTGAAAAGCATGTTGCAGCCACTTGCATGCTGGGATAGCTACCACCATGCACTGCTCTCTGGCCATTGCAAGAGCTGCTAATGTGCACTTGTTGTGTCTGTGTGGACAGATTGCAGCGCTTTCCCTACTGCACTCTACAAAGGCTGGTTTAACTCAAAGCGCTCTACATCTGCAAGCCATCTGTAGCCATGCCCTTGAAAACAAGTGAATACTGTAACCATCTTCTCTTAAAGAATGTGCCAGAGCCTAAACTCCCTCCTGGAGGATTGCAGTAAGCTGCCTCAGGCTGTCATGCACCTCCCCTCTGTGGTGCCCACCCACCAAGAACCATTCAGTTCCTGGCCTGCCAAATGACTCTGGTGCCTGGATAGGCTTGAGCCCAAGATCAGGCATTTCTGTTCACTACAGCCCTGGAAGTCTAGATGGTATGGGAAGCCAAGGCTTACACCTTCTCTCCCTGGCTCTGAGGCCAGCAGCCTTGCTGCTTCCTTCCATTTGTGTACACTTCCCCATTCAGCAGTTTTTTCTTGTGCCTTCCACCCTGATGTTAAGTGATTTCCTTCCAAGATGGGAAACCATAGTAACTAAGGGAGACTTTCCAAGTTGGATGCCCAACTGTCTTTTGTGCCTTTCTCTAGAATCAGGAAGCAGCCTTGCTTCAAGACAAACTTTTTGGAATTGGTCTTAGTAGGATAAATAACAGTTAAAATACTTCCCTCTTACAGGCCCAACAATGAAACTGAAGAGGCCTGTTGTAACAAAGATGTATAAAGATACAATAGACCACTTCTTCACTGTGGAAACCACATCAGCAAATCCTCTTTCAAAGTAACCTTGGAATACTGCAGGTCTCAACATACAGTTCTCAACTCTTCTACTGCTGTGTAAGTGTGTGTGCGTGCTGTTCATTGCTTTGACTCCCAAATGAAGGAATAAATGCATCTCTGAAATAAACCAGGTTTAATATTGTAGCCCTGCAATCACTGTATTTGTATACATTCCTGACTCTAGTTATTGGTGATGCTGCACTAACATTCCCTCTCTTTGGATGGACTTTTTCTAATGGCCATGGTCGGCTCAATCAGTTGTGTATCATATATGGGCAAATAGAATCTCAGCAAAAGTTAAATAGTTACAATATTTTAATAGTACCATGGCATTACTTTGTATTGTAAAAACCATGATAACTTATTTTTTTCCACCAAAGTTTTTTTGTCTGAAAATGAATGTAAACACAAGCAGGAATCTTGGTTTCTTTGTAGTTACACTTGAGGGCTGGGGTACTTTTTTTAATAGCAATGACTTCTGTAAGTAAATTATACATACAGCATATAAAGGATTTCTATACAGTGGATACAAAATATAGGTTTACTTGGTTCATTGTATAATACTTTTTTTGGTTGGGATATCAAAGCCATAAACTTGTTGAAACTATACGGTGCATATGTTGTAAGAAGCATTCCAGCAAAGGGAGTCTGATAGAGCTGACAAAATCCTGTCCCTTCTGACTTGTTCCTCAGTTGTCCCACAACCCTGGAATGTCTTAAACTTCTCACAGGTAGAACTTCTAGGTTTTTATGGCGTAGTACACTTGGGGTGAGTGAAGTCTTAATGACTTCTTGCAAGTATACTTTTAGGACTGTAATGGACTGAACAGTTTTTAAAGGTTAATTGTCTTTGAAAAGAGAAATAATGCATGCATTAGGAAATGCTCCACTGATTGGTATTGCCTTTTCTGGCAAAAGGGTTAATTTATTAGGGGGAGGTTCCCCCTCAGTGGGGGTGTGGAGGGAACTAGGTGTGGTGCTGCATTTCTATAACTTCAAGCAGTCTTGCACTGTAGGCCCCTCTACAGAAGCAAGCAACTGTTACTGAATTCATGGATGCTTACAGTAAACTCTATTCTACTCAGGGGCACCTTGCCTGATGTGAACAGGCATATCAGTTATCTTCTACTCTATGCCTGGATGAGTAAATTAGCTCTGCTTACCCCCTCCTTTTAAGCAGTTATGATATGGTAGTCATGCAGAAATCTGTATCATTATGAAGGCCTAACTCCAACTAAGTTTCAGGGACCTTAAATGTTTTAAAGATCTAATTTTTTTTGAGAAACTTGTATTCATCTGTGATCGTGAACAACACTGTATGAACCATGTATGAGATTGTGAAGGATTGAACAAGTGCAATCATTCTAGCTACTTTCAGACTAACTCTTGTCGTCTTCAGTTCATTATCTTTGTCAGTGCCTGGAGTGGATGGGTCAGGCAGAGGAATATATATGAATGAATTATTATAAGGCATCTCAAAAGGCTGAGGAGTACTTCAGGACACAAGGATTAAATGGCTATTCTGACTTGTATATCAAATGAAACTTTGCCATCACTTGAGCTACATCAGGGTTTGTTGTTTAAACTGCCATCTGTAAGATGGCTAGGGAAGGAATTTAAAGCACTTATACAAGAATTGAGGATTGTAAAAAGTAGGGGGCTCTATGTAATTGGAATTATAATGAAGATTCCACATGTGTAAATAAGCTTGTAATTTGATAAAGTGCTATGCACTATTACCATTGACTGCCCTTCTGTATTTATGGGACAAGTGTGAAATGTCAACTCTTAATAAACATCTGAACCTCATTTGTCTTTGAAATAGCATTTCAGTAACTTGCCACAAGGTAGGTTTTAGTTAAATGTCACTAAATGAAGCTTGGACCAGCAAACTAGTGGTGAAGGGGAAGTTGAGTATCTATCTTGGTTCATGGGACAGTAACAAGATTTAGAACAGAGGTACAGAGAGCAAGCTTTCATAAAATCTAAGTGAGGTGACTCAACCCCTCTAGGAACACCACCTGTACATTACATCCTGTTGGTTATAGTGCTGACATTCTGCTAAGACTTTTTTTCTTCATAGTGACTTGCATAACCTTCACTGCCTCTAAAGTAGGGAGAGAAATGGAGACCCTTAACTGTCAGGTTTTAGAACTTAAATGCAAAGCTAACAATCCCTGCTCTAGGGAGGAGGAAGCCTAAAAACAAGCAGTGGACAAGAGTGCAAACTAATTCAGCCCTATAGCTGACTTAACTAGTAGAAGCAGAGAACACTAAGCATTGGAGAATAGAGTACTGTTTAATGGACAACACATTGAACTACCCATCAGCCCTGCAATTAATACCACATTTGCCCACCTGTGCCAGGTAGCTTGGACTCCAGCTAAGGAGCTGTTTGTGGTGTAGATGCTGCAGCCAGAGTCTGAACATGCACTCTGGGACCCTCTGACCTCAAGCTCCTAGATCACAGGTTCTAGCCAAGCTTGAACACCTACAGTACAATTAGTCCTTTTGCCAGGTGACTTGACCTCCAGTTAAGGGTCAGCTGTGGGTAAGTGTGTTAACAGATTAAACTCAAATTAACTTAATCACACTTAATTGTTAGAAATCAATACTTGAAAATTTAAAGAATTTTTTCTATTACAAACATTTGCATTGTGGAAATTAAACATGATTTTTCAATTCACTTTATACAAGTACTATAGTGCAATCTCTTGTGAGCGTAACTTAGACTTTTTTGTTACATAACTGCACTGAAACACAATGTAAAACTTCAGAGCCCATAAGACCACTCAGTTCTCCTCCTTGTTTGTCATAGCAATTGGCTGAACAAGTTTGTTTACATTTACAGGCAATACTGCTGACATTTACAATGTCACCTGAAAGTGAGAACAGGCATTTGCATGGCATTTTTGTAGCCAGCATTGCAAAGTATTTGTGCCAGATATGCTAAACCTTCATATGCCCCTTTGGCTACCATTCCAGAGGACATGCTTCTATGCTGCTGTTTGTGTGTGTTTGGTTTTAAAAAAAAAAAAAAAAAAAGACCTCCCTGGCAGGAGGGGGGAGAATTTTGCTCAACCACATTGTCCTTTCATGTTATAGCTGTCTTGGATGATGACCCAGTACATGTTTAGTTTTTTTAAGAATACTGTCACAGCAGATTTGACAAAAAGGTACCAATGTGACCTTTCTAAGGGTAGATACAGCATTTGACCCAAGCTTTAAGAATCTGAAGTGCCTTCCAAAATCTGAGAGGGATGAGGTATGGCACATGCTTTCATAACTCTTAAAAGAGCAACACTCCAATGCAGAAACTACAGAACCTCAACCACCAAAAAAGAGTCAACCTTCTGCTTATGGTATTTGACTCAGATGAGGAATATGCAGTAGTCCACTCTGCTTTGGATCATTATCTAGCAGAACCAGTTATCAGCATGGATGCATGTCTTCTGGAATGGTGATTGAAGCATGAAGGGACATGAATCTCTAGTGCATCTGGCACAAATATCTTATGATGCTGGCTACAAGAGCATTGAGAATACCTGTTCTTGCTTTCAGGTGACATTGTAAATGAGATGTGGGCAGCATTATCTCCTGCAAATTGTCTGAGTAGACTTGTAGGTTCTAAAGTTTTACTTTTTTTCTTTTTTGAATGCAGTTTGTTTTGTTGTACATAAACTTACAAATGTAGAATTAACTTTCCTCCATGATAATTGCACTACAGTACTTGTATCAGGTGAATTGGAAATATACTTTCTTTTCTCACAGGGCAAATATTTGTGACCAAAAAGAGTGAGCCCTATACACTTCATTACACTTTATAATTGAAATCAATATTTGAAAATACAGAAGACACCCAACTTTAAATGGTATTCTTATTTAACAGTGCAATTAGTCACAATTTTTAAAATCACTTGACAGCTCTAGTAGACATACATGATGTGGCCTATAGAAACAGGTTCCAGCCTAAAAGGGAATTGGGGATGTTTAATAGCCACCTTGTATAAAAGGCTAATAGAAACTCCTTATACAAAACAGTACTTGAGCCTTTTCCTATTAAGATGGCAATTTGGGACTTGCGTCTCTAGAGAACTTGGGGCATGGTCTATTTAACTCCAGTAGCATCAAAGAGAGATTTCTACCTTATATACAAGGGTGATATAACCAATACACTAGCCTTCCTAAAGTTTAAGGTGAAATAGGGTGTATTCATGTTGCAAATGAACTCCACATTCAAGTACCATCCTAAAGAGCATGTGTTCCTTATTCTAAATGTCCTTTCTCCCTTGAAGTACAGCAAGAGATCTTGGACCTGCTGTTGCAACAAAGGAGCTACCTTGAAATACTAGCTTTAGAAAGTGATGTAAAATAGCCAGTTATGAACTCCAGGAAAGAGCAATGACAGGATTGGTTTTGGAAAGGTAATTAATTCCTTTGAGTGGAATTTAATTGCATCATTACATAGATCCATCAAGCCCAATATAGGGGCCAGCACCAGCTCTTTGAGGAAGGTAGAGAACCTGCCCCCAACAAAAGTTTCTTCCTAGCCTTCTCCAGTTTGAGGCTGGGTTTCTCTTCTGAAACATAAGCCTTAGTTCTGGATAGAACCTCTTTGAAAAATATGCTCATGGTCTTATCCTGGAGTGCTACACATTTACAAAATGTCACTTAACTCTAGAAGTGCTTGATCTACCTTTCACACTTCACTTACCTTTTTACATGGATCTAGAAAGAGAGTGGGACTCTTTTCCACATCACACCCTGCTTTCTCCTGGTGATGATTCTACTAATGCCACACACTCTCTTCATGGAGCCATGGGCACTAAAAACCTCTGCTTCAGAGCCATTCTCCTGGGGTTGCTTTAATGTAAAAGTGCAAAATGCTCTTTAACTCAGAGCCAGGCTCCCAGTGATGTCCCCAGATTACATTACTCAATGCTGATGAGGCAGCAGGGAGAATTCTGTACATGTGACTATTTTTTCAGTTAAACATCTGTGAAAGGGGTTGAGGTAACACACATGGTAATACTTCCATGACAGCACTTACTAAGCAACAGTTGGAAAAATTCAACTTCCAAGATCATTGAGTGCATGACTAGGAAGCCTGCGCTAAGCCCAGAGGACTTGAATCTACAGAAAAGGGGGAAACTTTTCCCCATGTACTGTCCAGCCTAATGAGAGCTGTACTATTTGTAAAAAGAAAAGGAGGACTTGTGGTACCTTAGAGACTTACAAATATATTTGAGCATAAGCCTGTGTGAGCTACAGCTCACTTCATCAGATGCATTCAGTGGAAAATACAGTGAGATTTATATATACACAGAACACAAAAAAAAAATGGGTGTTTATCATGCACCCTGTAAGGAGAGAGTGATCACTTAAGATGAGATATTACCAGCAGGAGAGTGACTGCCCCCCCAATCTCTCTGGTCACTCGATTTCTGACCTAAAAAAGTGGCTATTCTTCAACAGAAAGACTTCAGAAACAGACTCCAAGGAGAGACTGCTGAATTGGAATTAATTTGCAAACTGGATACAATTAACTTAGGCTTGAATAGAGACTGGGAGTGGTCAAGTCATTACACAAAGTAAAACTATTTCCCCTTGTTTATTCCCCCCCCCCCCCCTTCCTCAGACATTCTTGTCAACTGCTGGAAATTGCCCACCTTGATCATCTCTACAAAGGGTTTTCTTTCCCCCCCCCCATCCCCCTCTGCTGGTAATAGCTCATCTCAAGTGATCACTCTCCTTACAGTGTGCATATATAAATCTCCTCACTGTATTTTCCACTCAATGCATCCAATAAAGTGAGCTGTAGCTCACAAAAGCTCATGCTCAAATAAATTGGTCAGTCTCTAAGGGGCCACAAGTCCTCCTTTTCTTTTTGCAAATATTTGTAGTGTTAAGTCAATGTAGGAAGTTGGGTCTTAATTTAGCATTGTACTGTCTCCAGCAGACTAATCTGCAGTCAGCGGGTGCATTAGATTAGATCACTGGTTCCAAGCTATTTACCACTGTGGGCTACAGCCACATATATTTATTTATATATACACACAAACATTCTACCTGTATGGCCCTGAGGACGTCACATGGGCCACATCTGTGTGCTGACTGGGCTGCAAGTTGAGAACCGCTGGAATAGAGACATAGGCAGCGTCCTGCCATCATGGAGAATTCTGTTTGAGATCCTGAGCCAGCCAGCCACCCTGTAACCAACCCATTACCAGTGCTGTTAAATCTGATGGGCAGGTTGCCTCCTGCAATTATTCATTTTCTTATTATGCATTGCTAATGGGGGTGTGTTCACTGCCCATGAACAAAGAGGACAAAGGTAGTATCATATGGCAGAAGCAGGGATAAACACTGATGTGTATTGCTTAATCCTGCAGTGTATTCTAAGGTTTATAAACCTTTGAACACACCTGTTAAAGGGAATTTTAGTAACACTACTCATAATTCCAGCCAGAAACAGTATCCTTACACATTAGAAAACATTCTAACCCCACAGAAAATAGTGGTCCTAGCGTGACTGATCACAAGAGATTTTACAGTAGACTAAACAGCTCCAGATGTTCACCATAAAATTCTACCACCATACCTGCCAATATACAGTTTCAATTCCATGCAAATACTTTAACTTCCAAGGTAAGTGTAGTGAGATCTTTAATTGGTGACCTGGAAAGGAAAGACAATTGAGTTTTATTCCATCTCATTTTTGTGTTGTATAAAGGCAGCCAAAGGCTGGGGGAGTTTTCCTGCTTGTTTTGCTACCTTAAATATCAAGTTTGGACTTCATTGCTTTTGCT